CTTTCTCCATTAATACTGCTATCTTCTCAGGGAGCGGCGGCTCCAACCAGTCGACTCTTCTTGGCAAAATTCCATTCTTTCAGATATCATATTTAGTTTTCCATCATTATAAGTCTTTCACCATCAACTATTTGGCCTATATTATTAAGACTTAATTTTATTTGCGGCTTCTTTTTTAAAGTTCTATGCCTTGAAGAAGAAGCATTCCCCGTGGAGAGTCGTCTAAAGATTCAAATAATGATTCAATTCGGCCATTAAAAATTGAATGTAAGTACAAATATTGTTAATAGAATAATTATATAGATTTGCAATTTAATATGTGTCCATTTCACGTGTTATTCATGAAAAAAGAGAGTTGTTTTTGTACCACTGAAAGGTGTAGTGGATTCTAATAAGTCTCTATCTGAAGTGCAAAAAAAAAAAAAACCGATGCTATTAATATCGTTGTAATATTTTTCCGTAATGAAATATCGATTAATTATCAGTTGTTATAATCTCTCTAACTATTTCATACTGGATGAACTTACAAAATCATTACTCTCCAATATACATTTTAGAGATTGATGCACATAAATCAGAATTGGAGAGAATTAATCAACCGTTTACCAAATTAGCAAGAAAGAAACGTATTATTTATATAATGTAGAAGCGTTTATATGGAAAAATCGTGAACATTCCTACTGGTAATCTATTTTTTTGTGTTTGTTTTTTATTTATATGTTATCAAATTATGTGTTAGCCAATGGGATTGCTTATTTTACTAATTCCTATATAGGACTGCAAAACGAAATGAATAACTTACAATCTAAGAGAAATAGATTGTTGGGGTCCATAAACTTGCCGAAAAATCTTATTAATCGTCTTCGAGTGATGCGTTTTGGTGACTTTCCAGGTTTGTTGATATTTTGGTTATTTCATTTCCTTCATTTATTACAATGCCAAATTTTGTCACCAAAATTATTTCTTATATTGGAGTTCTAATTTTATTGTAGTTGTTGAAGTGTTCGATATTGGAAAACCATCATATAAATGTGCATATTGTGGAGCGATGATGTGGAAGGGCGAAAGTACCAAACCCACGAGTAATTTCAATCAACCAAAGTTTTCGTTGCATTGCAGACAAGGTAAAGTGAAGTTCCCTCCTCGAAGACAACCTCCGAAGGTTATGAATATGCTATTGCCTCCAATGATACGTCACTTTTTGGAACATATCCAAGGATATAATGGGGTCTTAGCATTCACTTCTATTGGAGGTAAACTGGATCGATCTATAAATGATGGACGCGGAGTATATGCTCGATTGGAGGTCAAGTTTATCATCGAATCGACAACTTGATACCTACTGAAAGGAATAGACCCAAATTTGCTCAACTCTACATCTATGATACTGCCAATAAACTCCGAAACATGTTAGACTTTTTCTCCACATATCCCGATTCAAATCCTTTGCGCTATTCAATTATTCAACAATTACAGGAGATGCTAGAATCAAGTAATATCTTGGTAAAGACATTTCGATATGCAAGGGATAGATTGAATGACACTACTGTTCGACAAGTTGAAATAAAGTTGCTTGCGAAAAGAGAAGGGGATGGTAGAGAATATGATTTGTCATCTAGAAATGAGGTCCCTACTTTAATTGTTGATGATACCGGGGAGCAAATATTTTCTCCTGATATTGTTGTCGAGTATCAAAGTCATGAACTGGAACAAATCAGTATATATCACCCAAGTTTAATGGCTTTGCAATATCCCATATTATTCCCACATGGCGAAGATGGTTGGCATCCAAATATTTCATACTCTGGGGATGGGGATGAGGATGCAGATGAATACAATGAGAAGAATGTGACTCAATGTGATTTTTATGGTTATATACTTCAAACAAGACTGGAAGAATGAAATGCATTGCGCGTGGAAAGTTGTTCCAACAGTATGTTGTTAATGCATATGCATTGGTTGAGGCTGCGCGTTTGGATTAGGTTAAGAACAACCAAACAAAGTTGAGACAACATTACTACCAAGGTCTTTTGGATTCTTACTTGAGAGGTGATTCAGATACCAGTTTGAGTGAGAAGCAGGTGATTTTGGCTTCATCACATACAGGTAGTCCTCAATATAAGTATGAAAGTTTCCAAGATGCTATGGCGATTTTTAGATGGCAGGATATCCAGATCTTTTCATTACATTTACATGTAATCCTGCTTGGCATGAGATTCAGTACATGCTTGACTTGATAAGGACTACTACGAGGAAAGATCCTAATAGAGCTGATGTCATCGCAAGAGTGTTCAACCTAAAGCTACATCAATTACTGAATTAGATCTTGGAGAAGAACATTTTATGGGAAAACATTTGCATGTAAGTTATATTTAATAGTTTTACTTTAAGTATCTTGAATTTATGAATTATTCATGGACTATTATTTCCATATTTTGATTATAATTTCTTTCATTTGCAGATGTGATGGCAATTGAGTTTCAAAAACTTGGTTTACCTCATGCTCATTTATTAGTCTTCCTAGCTGCAGAAGATAAGTTTTATTCTTAATTTACAATATCATGAATTTTATTAACTCTAATCGCTACTCTAATATACAATTTGAATATAGTGGATTGGTTGTCAAAGTCATTCTCTTTGGTAGGATAGTCGCCCAACTAAATTCAATCCTTGAAAATGCGGGCAACCAACCTCTCAAATTAATTTCACCTCTTCAGGAGCGACCTTACTACTAGCGAATCCAAGAATTTCAGAAGTAATTAATTTTGGGCCAATGTGAAGATCTAAAACATTTACTCACCATATTTGCCTGCGTGTTATGAATTTGATGTCGAGCAAACCAAAACGGGAGTAATTATCAATCCTTTTTGGTGATAACAGTGACTGCGATTTGGTATCCACCGGTGAAAAGAATGGAAGCACCTCAAAGGAATGATGAGGACGAGCACAGCACTAACGATGAGTAAAGATAAGGGTTATTCAAAACAATTTTAGAATTCGGTTACATGCTAAAGGGTTTGTTGTTTATTTTTTGCAAATTAATTATGTTCGATAAGTCGGTTAGGATGTCCTAGAATACTATGATGTTCGTATTTTAAATGCTTGAAGCACGTTCATAATTTGGATTCTTTTACGCTACAAAGAAATTTATATCTTGATAATTTAATCGATCTAGATTTTTGTAAACAAGCAAAACACGGGAAACTCATGCTATTCCTATTTTGTATTTACACAATTCACAAATGAACACGACATTATACCTATTTAGTATTTACGCGATTCGAAAGTAAAACCTGCCAACCGACCTGGACCGTCACTAGTAATTAATTAGGAATTGCATTTATAGCTTTTCAAAGCTATTCATCCCAACAAATATGAATGGCAAGGTTGCCGTTGCAGAAATGGTACAAACAGCATGTTTGAAGCTTCATGTCTAGCTCTGTTTCCATGGCGATAGACAGCATAAGGTCTCGCTTCCTCGATGGGTTTTTAAGATTGGCGAATCGAATCCCGGCATCTTTTATACCGATCGATCAGGGGAAGCTTATGAAGATTGCTTGTCGTTGGGTGTGGATGATCTTCCTGTTCTCGATGGCAAGACTCCTCTTCAAGTTTACAAGGATTTCTGTCAGAGCTTCAGGTCCTCATTTGCCCAGTTCTTGGGTTCCACTATAACGCGCGGTATATGAGATTTCGTGTTTCCTTTGATGAATTTGATTTCACTTGGATTGATTGGATTCGCTTAGAGTTCTATCGGGAACTAAGGATGGTAGAGTCCATGGATTTTGAGACATGGTGTATTTTTTAGGTGTGATTTAGAAATGTGTGTTTTGTCCTATATAGTATTTGGTAGGGAAGGTTATTGTATGGTGTTTTGCCCTGAAACCTTAGGTCGAGCCCCATGATCTCTAAAACAGATGACCTCGTGGATTCTAATTACATGGTTTTGGGACCAAATTCAAACAATAGAGACGCGTATTTGTACCATCCATGGATATAGATATGTGATTACACGACATCATAGCCTATTATATCCCCTCAATTAGGGAGGAGCAATGGGTGGGGTGGATGGATTTTCGTCTCAAATTGACCCACCCGCTTACTAGTGAGTTTGAATAATTGTGACTCACAATTCACCCATATTGTTCTGTGAGTCGGGTTGGATGGGTGGTGGATGGGTGCGGTTGGGTCGTGGTTAACCCGCAAAAGCTATTCTCCAACAAGCCATTTAGAAAGTCGACTAACATTTATAATAAGCTCATAGCAAATTAGGAACACTGTATCAATTTAGACACTTCTCACTTTGTCTCAAGTGAATGCGTTTAGTTTTGTATAAAAAAATTTACTACTCTATCATCCAATTGTGTAGAGAAACTTACGCATTTTTTATTATTATTTTGATACCATTAATAATTTATAGCTTTCATCCCAATATTTAATGGATATTAACATAATTCACATTCCAATATTGAATATCTAATAGATATTATCTAGCAATAATATCTAATAGATATTACACAACACAATACCCAACAATAATAGTCAAAACTTTTTTTTCTCTCCACCTTTAGAAGTATATGTTGAGACTGTAGTGTGGTTCGAAAATATGATGAATATTCGATACTATAAGAAACAATATTTTCTTATATGAAAATAGGATGCGAGTCATTCAGGCCGCAATCCGCCCACATAAGTGCGGGTGAGAGATTTATCAATTCATAATCCATCCACATCAATCACCCTCTACTTACGGGTCAGGTTATTTGCGGGTGAATCGATATCAATCCAAGGATTAACCACCTCACGTGCCCACTCCTACTCTCAACCTATCCTTTCTATTCATCATATTCAATAGCGAACTTTATCCGTTTACCAAATTCAATGTAGTTGGATGGTTGAAGGAGCCTTGTAATCTTTTGTTCCGCGGGCGGCTGCTATCTTTTTTTATTCATGGTGGTATTTGAATCTCTTCCAGGGAGTAACGATGGGGCTAGGACCAGATGGCGAGCTTCAATATCCATCTCACCACCAACCTTCCAACAACAGCCTCCCTGGAGTTGGAGAGTTCCAATGCTAGCTACGACGAAAACATGATGGAGCAGCTAAAGCAACACGCAGCTTCCCTCGGCAATCCGTTATGGGGGCTGGCAGGCCCACACGATGCCCCGGACTCCAACGAACTCTCCGGATCATGGCAATCCCCTTACGGCGATTTCTTCCTCTCGTGGTACTACAACCAGCTGCATGCTCTCACTCCATGGCCTCGGATGTCTTCACAAACAAGTGAACAACGGCGTAACAACTCATGGCAGAGTCCCGCTGATGCACTCCTGGTTCAAAACCCGGTCCCGTACGTGCACTCGAGAACACTGCTGGGTTACGTTCTACAGCACGGACGGGAAAGATGCATACGCCGAGATGTTTGCTCAAAACTCGATCGTGCGGGATGATCGTTTCTGGGATCGGACGATCAGCAACCCGACCAGCCAATTCCAGTCCGGAGATGTTGCTTAAGCAGATTCAAGCGGCGTGCAAGAAGCATGGAGTTGGGGTTTCTGGGATGAACTCCGGTCTCCGTTTGAATGGGTTTGACCGGATAAGGATGAATGTTGTGGGGGATGCGAATAACGTGGTTGATTTGTTTAATTTACTTACCAGAGAATGGGAGCGGAGTTCTTCTCGCCGGAGCATTTTCACCCAGTTTGCTCGGGGGCTGAATGAGCCTTTTGCTGGGCTGGATTCGGATGATCTTCCTACGGAAGAGACTCTTCCGGTGGAGGCTTCTGTACCGTCGAATGCCGAAATGCAAACGGCCTAAGGGTGAAGAGATGACGTGCGCTAAAATATGTAAATATATATATATATAGGCTGTAAGTTTGGCCGCTGCACCCTTTTGCCTTTTCATTATTATTTGGGGTAAATTGCAAGTTTGTTTACTGGAATTACTTAAAGCATATTACTATGTTTGCTACTAAAATCAATTTATTTCATTCGTAGTCACTTAAATTAGACTAACAGTTCAAGTTTGATCATTTGCCGTTAGTATCCGTTAACTTTTACTGATATGGCAGTCTTGCCAGTCAACTATCATAGTTAATTGCCCGCTTCAAACCCCCGGCAACAGGGATAAAAAAAGTATCGTGCTCTCTCTTTTCGGAGGAGTGGATTGGAAAACCGCCTTGTGCGCTTGGAAACCGCCATCGTGCGCCATGCCGATCTACCTTCCCGTCGTCGTGCGGCGATGGGGCCTGGCCCTTCGGAGCCAAATGGCTATAAATCCAGGTTCCCTTCGGGGTGGGCTTGTGGATCTTGGTCTCAATTCGATTGATTCTTCTGATTTCCTTCTTGATTTCGTCTCTGTGATTTCCTTGAAAATGGCGGTTGTGGTGCAGTTCAATGACGACGATGTGGCTGCCGGAGTTGCCCGCGGCGAGCTTTCTCTAATTGGGCGATTGTTTGGTTCCCCCCCACCGGTGTATGCCCTGAAGTCGATGCTGAGTCGGGTGTGGCACTTCGATGGCGACCTTACCATTTCCAGAGTAGATGAGGGTTTGACTCATTTCCTGTTCTCCGAACAGGCAGATCTCCGCAAGGCGCTCAAAAAATCCCCTTGGATTTTCGATAACTTCATGATTGTGCTGGCTAGATGGGCGAATCCCTCTCCTGATGTTGCTGAGCAACTTCGCCGAGCCCCTCTGGCGGTCCACATCTGGCAGGTTCCCTTTGACTGCTTCACTGAGAAGATGGCTCTGCGCCTGGGCTCTTCTTTGGGAACACTCAACGATCCTCCTTCTCTCCATCGCTCTGACGTCTCGGGGGGACTCTATATCCGGGCGGAACCAGTGCTTGACCTCACTGCTCCTCTTCCGGCCGAGATCACGGCGGGCCACGTAGATTCAACCAAAGGTAACTTTGTTGCCAAGGTTAAATTTGAAAGGGTACCTCACTTTTGTTTCCTCTGTGGTGTGATTGGCCACATAGGGGAAGGTTGTCCACAGAAGGAGGAGTTTGCAGGGAAGCCTCCAAGGTATGGGCTGTTCTCGGTGGCGACTGAATCGGGTTCCCCTATCTCCGAGGCTACACTGTCGAATCAGCGTCGGCGATTCACTTGGATTCGTGCAGTCGCTAAGCGCCCGGCAAAGCCTAGGTCGAGTGACAGCTTCAAAGAGCCCGCTCCTTGCCTGGACTCTAACCGGCTGTTGACGTCTCAGGAAGATGGCACCGCTGCTATGTGGCAGGACACTCGAAGGCCTCAATCTACGACCATGGGAGACAGGTTCCAGGGGCTGTCGGTTCTTCCCTACAATGCCGATCACCAGGCTGCTTTTGGTTCATCATCGGCGGCAGACACTGCCACGGTGGAGGGATGTATCACGGCTTCAACGTCTCCAACTACTAAGCGTGCCCGAACCAGCCAGGTGGGGGCAACGAACACTCAAGACAATGGTAAGGTGGCGGCTTCCAGCCTCAACTGGGCCCAGCTCGATCCATGAGCTTCATGGTGTGGAATTGTCGAGGGATGGGCTCCCCCTTGACCGTTCCCGCTCTTGGTGGAGCTGTTTCGAGATTCGTACCTAGTCTAGTTTTTCTGAGTGAAACCAAGCATGAGGATGATTTTGTCAAAGCCAAATTTTCTAAGCTTTGGTTCAAGATGGTTGAATGTTTTAGTGCTGCTCAAGGTAGTGGTGGGTTAGCAGTAGCTTGGGGGGATCATGTGTCTTGTAGAGTTCACAAGCTTTCTTCTTTTCTTTGTTTTGTGGAGTGTCTTGTTCCACCAGTAGGTCGCTTTGTCATTTTCTTTGTACACCTTTCGTGTGATGCTTCATCTAGGCTTTCTCAACTGAATGAAATTGCTTCTTTGGTTTTGTCGGTGTCCTTACCAGCCTTTGTTGTAGGTGATCTCAACTGCCTCATGTCCTCGGCAGAGAAGAGGGGGGGTAATGTTCCTTCCATGGCTGCCCTAGAGCACCTCAATGAGTTCATTTTATCTACCGGGCTCGTTGACTTAGGCTTCCATGGGTCTCCTTTCACATGGTCGAATAGGAGAGTCGGGGGGGGGATCACATTCTTGAGAGATTGGATAGGTGCCTCGGGTGTACATCGACGATGACGGAATGGCCTGACTTAAAGGTAATTCATTTATCAGATTTAGGATCTGATCATCGTATCATTCTTGTGCAGCTTATTAAACAGGGTCAGCATAGGCACACACGGTTTCAGTTTGATGGGCGCCGGAACTCCAATGAGGAGGCACTGGGAATTATCCGGGCTGCGTGGGCCAAACCGACCCGGGGGTCCATGCAGTTCAAGGCGTTTACCCAGCTTAAAATAGTGCGTCATGACTTAGTGGAATGGGCTAAGCTGGGTACCTCTAACTCGGCTCGGCAAATTCGAGAACTCAAGGCAGCGATTCTGGATCTTCGGGAAGCAGAGTCGGTGGATTGGGATGCTATCCGGCAGCTGGAACATTCTCTATCAAATGCATTCGTGGAGGAGGAGTGCTTTTGGCGTCAGAAATCCCGGGTGGGCTGGTTAAGAGAAGGGGATGCCAATACTAATCTTTTCCACGGAACAGTCATGCAACGGCGTCGGTTCAACCGGTTACAAGGCCTGAAGGACGAATCTGGTACCCTACATCATGAGGAGGAAGCTATGGCAGGTATAGCTGTTTCTTTCTACCAATCCACCTTTTCTACTAACAATGTGGATGCTACTGCCTATGTAGAGTCTCTGGGTTTGTCTACTCGTGTGACTAGGGAGATGAATGAACGCCTAGTAGCTCCCGTCTCAACTCTGGAAGTCAAGGAAGCAGTCTTCCGGATTGGGAGCCATCAAGCCCCAGGATCGGATGGGCTTTCTGCTGCCTTTTTCGAAGCTAATTGGGAGGTGGTGGGAGCTCTTATCACAGAAGCGGTTCTCAGCTTCTTCCGCACTAGCCGACTACTTCACAGTTTCAACCACACGTTGATTTCCTTGCTGCCCAAGGTTCTCAATGCCGACACAATGCGCCAAATTCGACCCATAGGTTTGTGCCAGGTATTCTACAAGATTATAGCAAAAATTTTAGCTGCCAGGTTAAGTGCGATTCTTCCTGATGTTGTTAGTTCCACTCAGAATGGCTTTGTTCATGGTCGGTCCATTACTGACAATGTGTTAATTGGCCAAGAAGTTATGCAATTCTTGAAAACTAAGGTGCAGGGTCGTGACAAGTGGATGGCGCTTAAACTCGATATGGAGAAAGCTTACGACTAGGTAGAATGGTCGTTTCTGTTACTAATAATGGAGCACTTGGGGTTCTGCTATGAGTGGCAGCGGTGGATACAAGCGTGTATTTCCACGGTGTCCTTCTCTGTTTTGATCAATGGTCAACCTCATGGGTACTTCAGGCCCCAGCGTGGATTGCGACAAGGTGATCCCCTCTCACCCCTTCTCTATGCTATTTTCTTTGAGGCCTTCTCGGCTAAGATATCCAGTGAGATCATGGCTGCTTCATTACATGGTTTGTGTGTGCATCGGTTTGCTCCTATGACTTCTCATTTACTATTTGCTGATGACACTTACCTTTTCCTTCGTGCGTCCGTACCGGAATGTAATGCTTTGCTGTCTATCCTGGATGAGCTTGGCCGGGTGAGCGGGCAGCGAGTAAACCTGTCCAAGTCGTCCATGTCGGTGAGTTCCAATGTCTCGGACCAGGAACGGGCAGCTTTGGGGGCGTGTCTAGGGGTGGCGGATTCCCAATTGCAGGACAAGTATTTAGGGCTCCCGGTTCATATGCAGAGGTCAAAGACCCAAACATTCAGGTTTTTTGAGGAAGGGTTGGCTGCTCGCATCCGTTCATTGAAATCAAAATCGTTGTCTTTGGCGGCTAAAGAAACGGTGATAAAATCCATTGGTTCAGCTTCTTCTGTTTATGCTATGCCGGCTTTTCGGTTGCCTGCTTTTACTTGTCGCAGGTTAAACGGGCAGCTCTCTCGGTTTTGGTGGGCTGGCCAAGACAAGGAGGTTGGCATGCATTGGTTATCCTGGCAAGAGGTCTCCCTTAGCAAATTCGAAGGGGGCCTTGGCTTTCGCGACTTTGACCGTTTCAATGTTGCTCTTTTAGCCAAACAAGCCTGGCAGGTCCTTACCAATCCAGATTCTACGCTGGCGGAAGTGTACAGGGCCAGGTACCACCCTCACACCTCGTTCCTGGAAGCAAGACCCGGCCCTCGGCCGTCTTGGGCTTGGCAGGGCATTCTATCTGGCCGAGATCTCCTACTGAGGGGCTTGCGGTGGCGGATTGGTGACGGGACTGCCGTTCAAGTCCTTGCAGATAAGTGGCTGCCATCTAACCCCCCTTCCTCTCCTTTGCTTCTTCAAAATGTCTGGGCTTGCCCAATTTTTGTCTCTGAGCTAATATGTCCTATTTCTCGTTCATGGAACTTGCAGCTACTTAGAAGCCTGTTTCAACCATGTTCGGTTGCCCTGATCATGTCCATTCCCCTTGCGGTTCAGCCGCAGCCAGACAAACTAATCTGGCACTATTCACCTAGCGGGGAATATACAGTCAAGTCCGGTTACCACTTACTGTCTAATGAATTGCTTGCTGCTCATCCTCCTTCTCCGTTGCCTTATGACAGCAGGTTTTGGAAGGTGCTTTGGGGGTTGCAAGTACCTCCCAAGCTTAAATTTTTCTGGTGGCGGCTAGTTCGGGGATTCCTTCCGGTTTGTGCGGTACTGCAGGGGAAGAGATTGGTTTCGGATGCTACATGCCCAATCTGTTCGGCAGGGGCGGAAACTCTGACACATACCTTTCTCCAATGTCGTGTAGCAACAGAT